ACATGAATGCAAACATTCTCAACTAGATACTAGCAACAGTACATTAAAAGGATCATTCACCACGATCAAGTGAGATTTATTCTGGTGCTATAAGGCTGGTTTAATATTGCAAACCAATCAATGTGATACAACACATTAATAAAAGAAAGGATAAGAACCATATATTTCTTTCAATAGATGCAGAAAAAGCATTTGACAAGGTACAACATCAATTCATGATAAAAACCCTGAACAAAGTAGAGATAGAGGGAACATACCTCAACATTAATAAAGGCTACATATGAAAAATTCACAGTGACCATCATCCTCAATGGGGAAAAACTGAGAGCTTTTCCTCTATGGTCAGGAACAAGACAAGGATGTTCACTCTCACCACTGTTATTTAACATAGTACTGGACGTCTAGCCTCAGCATTCAGACAACAAAAAGAAACAAAAGTCATCCAAATCAGCAAGGAAGAAATCAAACTTTCACTACTTGTAGATGGCATGATACTCTATAGAAAACCCAAAGCCTCCACCAAAAATATCACTAGAACTGATACACAAATTCAGTAAAGATGTAGGATACAAAATCAATATATAAAATCTGTTGCACTTCTATACACCAATAATGAAGCAGCAATGAAGATGAAGAGAAATCAAGGAATTGATCTCATTTACAATTGTATCCAAAACCATAAGATACCTAGGAATAAACCTAACCAAAGAGGTAAAAGATCTATACTCTGAGAACTATAAAACACTGATGAAAAAAATTGAAGATGACACAAAGAAATGGAAAAACATTACATGCTCATGGATTGGAAGAACAAAATTGTTAAAAGTTCTATACCATCCAAAGCCATCTACACATTTCATGCCATCCCTATCAAAATACCAACAGTATTTATCACAGCACTAGAACAAACCATCCTAAATTTTGTATTTAACAAATATTGTTAAAATACCCAAAGCAATCTACTCATTTAAAGCAATCCCTATCAAAATACCATCAGTGTTTTTCACAGAGCTAGAACAAACAATCCTAAAATTTGTATGGAACCATAAAAGACCCTCAAATAGCCAAAGCAATCTTAAAAAAGAAAAGCAAAGCTGGAGGCATCACAATTTCAGACTTCAAACTATACTACAAAGCTTTAGTCATCAAGATAGTATGGTACTGGCACAAAAACAGACACTTAGATCAATGGAACAGAATAGAAAACCCAGAAATGAACCTGCAAACTATATGGTCAACTAATCTTTGACAAAGCAGGAAAGAATACCCAATGGAAAAAGGACAGTCTCTTTAACAAATGGTGTTGGGAAAACTGGACAACATGCAGAAGAAAAATGAAACTGGACCACTTTCTTATACCATACATAAAAATAAATTCAAAATGGATGAAAGACCTAAATGTGAGACAGGAAACCATCAAACTCCTAGAGGAGAACACAGGCAGCAACCTTTTTGACCTAGGCCACAGCAACTTCTTATTAAATATGTCTCCTGAGGCAAGGGAAACAAAAGCAAAGATGAACTATTGGGACTTCAAAATAGCTTCTGCACAGTGAAGGAAACAATCAACACAACTAAAAGGCAGCCTGTGGAATGGGAGAAGATATTTGCAAATGACATATCTGATAAAGGGTTAGTATCCAAAATCTATAAAGAACTTATCAAACCCAACACTCCCAAAACAAACAATCCAGTTAAGAAATGGGCAGAAGACATGAATAGACACTTTTCCAAAGAAGACATCCAGATGGCTAACAGACACATGAAAAGATGCTCAGCATCACTCATCATCAGGGAAATACAATCAAAACCACAATGTCCTGTCAGAATAGCTAAAATTAACAAAGCAGGAAACAACAGATGTTGGAGAGGATGGGGAGAAAGGGGAACTCTCTCACACTATTCGTGGGAATGCAAACTGGTGCAGCCACTGTGGAAAACAGCATGGAGGTACCCCAAAAAGTTAAAAGAGAACTACCCTATGATCCAGCAACTGCACTACTAGGTATTTATGCAAAGGATACAAAAATACTGATTGTAAGGCATACATGCACCCCCAATGTTTATAGCAGCAATGTCCATAATAGCCAAATTATGGAAAGAACCCAAATGCCCATCAACTTATGAATGGATAAAGAAGTTGTGGTATAGATATAAAATGGAATATTACTGAGCCATAAAAATAACAAAATCTTGACATTTGCAATGATGTGGATGGAGCTGAACAGTATTATGCTAAGAGAAATAAGTCAATAGAGAGACAATTATCATATGGTTTCACTCATATGTGGAATTTAAGAAACAAACCAGAGGATCATAGGGGAAGGGAGGGAAAAATAAAATAAGGCAAAATCAGAGAGGGAGACAAACCATAAGAGACTCTGAACTAAGGAAACAAAGTGAGGGTTGCAAGAGGGGATGAGGGTGGGGGGATCCGGTAACTGGGTGATGGGCATTAAGGAAGGTACGTGATATAATGAGCACTGGGTATTATATGCAACAGATGAATAACTGAACTCTACATTAGAAACTAATGATACACTATATGTTAACTAATTGAATTTAAATAAAATAAGTTTAAAAAAAGAAGTTTTGATATATATACTGGATTACTGAGCCATAAAAAGAACAAAATCTTGACGTTTGCAATGACGTGGATGGAGCTGGAGAGTATTATGCTAAGTGAAATTAGCCAGTCAGAGAAAGACAAATACCATGATTTAACTCATATGTGGAATGTAAGAAACAAAACAAATGAACACAGGGTGGGGAAGAGAGGCAAATCATAAAACAGATTCTTAACTATAGAGAACAGACTGATGGTTATTGGAGGGGAGGTGGGAAGGGAGGTGGGTTAGATGGGTGATGGGTATTAAGGAGGACACTTGTGATGAGCACTGGGTATTGTATGTAAGTGATGAAGCACTAAATTGTACTCCTGAAACTAATATTACACTATAGTTAATTAACTGGAATTTAAATGAAAACTTGGAAAAAACCCCACATGGTGTCCTAGGAAAAAATTCATACAGAGAGATCAAGATATATCCTTGTAAAGTAACTGGAATTTGTAAATAAAATATATGTTTGTATGGGCTTCTAGGCCATAAAATCAAATCTTCATTAAAAGGGCGCCTGGGTGGCTCAGTTGGTTAAGCATCTTGCTTCGGCTCTGGTCATGATCTCAGGGTTTTGGTATTGATGCATGCTCCATGCTCAGCAGGGAGCCTGCTTCTCCTTCTCCCTCTGACCCTCCCCCAAGCTCTCTCTCTCTCTCTCAAATAAATAAATAAAATCTTAAAAAAATTCTTCATAGAAACAATCAGTGATAGAATTGAGTATAGCAATTAATGTCTACATGGACATCAGAGAGAGAATGGGACCTATGAATTATACAACAGCACAACTACAATTCAAGTATAAACAATTGACAGATAATTTTATACATGCAATATAGTAGGAAATATGGTTCCCATGAGCCTTAAAAAATCTTTTAGATGATAGCCTTGAGGTAACTAAGCAATAAATGGAGAAATGGGCTATCTTCTCAAAATAGTCCTTTTATCCATTTAAATGTAGAAATATGACTAATCAACTATAGGAATTATGACTGCATAAAAGCATGTAAATGCTATAAACCTTGACAGTGCAGAAGTAGTTTGACAATGCAGAAATAGCATTATAAAAAACAAAAGTTAGGAAGTGACAAGGACAGAGAAGGTGAGAGGTAAGATAAGTATACAAATTTTCTTGTTTTGTAGTGTGTGATGGGTCAATAGGCCTTGTTCATAGATGACAAATCAAGTAGTAGATGGATCAATATATTTTAAGGATAAAAAGGTAACAACTACACTAAGTATAATAATAAAACCACCCCAAAATTTCCTACGATAGAGTATAGTTAGTAGAAACATGCTTATTTCTTCATAATTTATAGCAAGGACTTAATAAATTCTATCTAAACAGTGAAAATCTATTCTAAAATTTTGCCAACTCACCAGTCTGTATTCTATGAAATATATCTTTTCCTCCAGTTTGAAAAATCTTCATTATCTTTTCTCTTCTCCATGATTCTTCATAGTACTGGAATGGTTCTGGGACCACATCTGCCAGTTCTTTTTAGCATCTTTGGATAGGTCTTCATCTAGATCTAGAGATCTGAACTCTTTTAAAGCAGCCAAGGACAATAATCTTGATTTTACAGCATTTATGTTTTATTCCTACCAACTCTGGTTGGTTTATTGGCTTTTTTTCCTCCTTCCCATCTCTCCACCAATCCAACTAACATTTATTCAGCTTTTACCATGAATCAGGTGCTGTGCAAGAATACTGGCTAGTTAGAAAGATGATGCAGACAAGCCCCTGCCCTCAAAATGTTCAGTCTGATGAGGAGGCAGATAAACAACTCTAATACAAATGCAGGATTTTAATAGTAGGAGCACCCTTCTCCTACCAGAAGAAAAGCTAAAACTATCTGGATGATTCTTGGAAAGGTTCTATAGAGAAAATAGCATTTAAACTGTGTCCTTGAAGAATGAGTTGGAAAAAAAAAGAATGAGTAGATCTTCACCAGGCAGGAAAAAAAGAAAAGAATAATCTAGGTAGAGCATAAAAAATTAAGCAGAGACACAGAAGGAATATCTCTTTAGTTTGAATGTAGTGGGAATATACTGAAAAGTGAAGGGCAGAGTTGGCCCTAGAGACTGTGCAATTTTCTGGGTGGCTTTATAAATACAATGTGTTCCCCTTGATTCTAGCAGTATCATACTTAGGGTCGGTCTCTCATCACAAGACATCAACCCTCCATGATACCTCTTTTCTTTGCCCCCAGCAAACACTCCACATTGCCAAGAAGCACTCCAGTTGAGAATTGGATTGATGACCCCAGTGAATAGCACACAGCCTTGGCCAGTTCCCACAGGCTGCAGGCTGCCCACTCCTGGTTCCAATACAGTTCTCTCAGGGAGTGCTTCCCAGCCCCCATCATTGCTATATCTCACCTTCATCTCCAGGGCCTCTGGCACCTTCTTGCCTTCCCAAGCCCAACTCCGCTTGGTGAAGTAGTTAACAGTGGCAAATTCAATCAGCGCAGAAAATACAAAGGCATAACAGACGGCTATGAACCAATCCATGGCCGTCGCATATGCCACTTTAGGTAAGGAGTTTCTGGCACTGATACTCAAGGTGGTCATGGTGAGAACAGTGGTGACACCTGGGGAGAGAGAAGATGAGAACAGTTGTCAATGGAAGACGTTTAGAGCATATATGATGAGATCACCAAATTTGACTTATGAGGAGGAGCACTCAAAATGGTCCCTTTAAAGTAAACACAGAGAATGTCAACATAGGATGGTTCTACCTAGTAATTACCCCATCCCAGTTTTCACAGGAATAGAAATCTCCAGTATAACACTTCTAAAAGTTCTGCTCTAGGGGTGCCTGTGTGGCTCAGTTGTTAAGCATCTGCCGTCGGTTCAGGTCATGATCCCAGAGTCCTGGGATTGAGCCCCCTGTTGGGATCCCTGCTCAGTGGGAAGCCTGCTTCTCCCTCTCCCACTCCCCCTGCTTGTGTTCCCTCTATTGCTATCTTGTAAAATAAATAAATAAAATCTTAAAAAAAAAATAAAAGTTCTCCTCTAGCCTCTGCTTAAACATTTCCACTGAAGAACAGGTAATCTACTCCATGGTAAGAACAGTTTTTAATTAGAAAATCTTACCTTCTGAACTGAAACCTGCCTTCCTCTAACTCCTAGCCCACTGACTAATCTCAGTGTTCTTTCTCTGGCAACACAAGAAAGAAAAGCCTGCTCCCTCCTTTCCAGGACAGGCTTTCAGAGAGTTGGAGAGGGTGGACATGATTCCTCATGAATCTGTTAATCTCCAGAATTGACATGGCCACTTCTTTCTCTTGTTTCTTTTCCTTCCCCATTCTGGTAGTTCTCTTCTGAATAGCTCAGAACCTGAGCCCAAGACTCAAGATTTTCACTTCCCTTACTGTGGACACTATTCTAATACTGCAACAAACTATTGTAGAAGATGGTACTTTAGCTGCATCACAATACAGGTCCTATTGAGCTTTGTGGACAACCAAAGCTATTCCAATATCTATTTCTTGTGAGTTTTTGTCAAACCACAGCTTGCTTTTAGATCAATTCTTTTTTCTTCGCGGTGTTATTAGCCTAAATTTAAGACTTCCCATTATTCACTTATAATTCTATTAAAATTATTTTTTCTAATCTGTTTGTATTTTAGATATACATATGAGCTATACAGTGTTGTGGGGAACAATATGAGCTTTATAATCAGATTGAAAATAGACTGAAATTCTGGCAATTCTACTTACTAGTAATATACCTAGAACAATGTGATTTACCCCACTAAGCCTGTTTTATTATGTGTAAAATGTGTGATTATACCAGACTCAGAAATTCGTTGGGGGATCCAATGAGATGATGTTTATAAAGCCCATAGCCCAATATATGGCACAGAGTAAACACTCAAGAAATAGTAGCTTCTATAATTAACATTACTCTTATTTCTACTGTTGTTAACAATATTATCATAATTATATAATTAATTATAGTGGTATAATTATAAACACATTTTAAACAACATTATAATAATAATAATAATCTTATGACTGTTAGCAATAGTATTCTAGCCTCAAATATCTATACTAGAAATTAGAAGTCCTGAGCTCTTCCACTTACTTGCTTTGTATCTTGGGTAATTTACTTCATCTCTTTGTGCCTCCATTCTCCCCATCTATGAATATTTCCTACAGTCTCTATACCTTAGAATTTTGACAAGGCAATTGTTGTATCCAAAGACATCCAGACTTCAAGAAAAGGGAGTATAGTCAGACCCTCTTTCTAAGTGTTGGCATGCTCAAGAGTATGGGGAATGTGGGTCTGAGTCAAGCAGGGCATGGGAAATAGTCTTAATGTGGTGAGACAGATTATATAGAAAAGCAAGCAGAGTGGTGGAGTTAAGCTGGCGGAGCAGTAGGGGGACCATGAAATTGCCTTGTCCTTCAAATACAACTAGACCAACATTCAACTACTTTAAACAATGAGGAAGATGATCTGAGGATTAAGGAAACAATCTACACAGTTGGAGGGAGAGAATGTGGCACATGTGAGGTTATCTTGACAAGCAAATCAAAGCACACCTTCATAAAGGTGCAAACATTCCCCACTACAAGCAAGTAGGAACTCTGTAGAGGAAGGACCAGTGGGAAAGAGCAGGCAAAACACAACAGCACACTGTACACAGCATACACCAGAAGCACTTCCTGAAGGTTTTGTTGTTGTTGTCACTGTTGCTGTTGTCGTTATTGCTGTTTTTGCTGGTTTCTTTTTTTTTTTTCTATCCTCCTTTCTTTTCTGGACACAATGATTAGATAGAGAAATTCACCCCCTCCCAAAAAAAGAACAGGAGGTAATACTGCCAAAGATTTAATCAAAAGGGATATAAGTAATATGTCTTTAACTAGAATTTAAAATAATGATTATAAAGATAGTAGCTAGGCTTGGAAAATGCATAGAAGATACTAGAGAATCCCTTGTTATAGAAATAAAAGAACTAAAATCTAATGGGGTCAAAATTAAAAATGCTATTACTGAGATACAGTCATAAATTGAGGCTTTACAGCAAGGATAAATGAGGTAGAAGAGAGTGTCATCAATATAAAAGACAAAATGATGGAAAATAAAGAAGCTGAAAAGAAGAAAGACAACAACTGGATCATGAAGGGAGACTTTGAGAACTCAGCAATTCCATAAAGTGAAATAATATCCAGGTAATAAGAGTCCCAGAAGATGAAGAGCAGAAGAAAGGGACAGAAGTTTTATTTGAATAAATTATAGCTGAGAGCTTCCCTAGTCTGGGAGATGAAACAGACATTCAAGTCCAGAGGGCACAAAGAACCCCCCTCAAAATCAATAAAAACATCCCACATATAATAATAAAACTTCCAAATTTCAAAAAAAAAAAAGAGAGAGAGAGAGAGAGAGAGAAAATCCTGAAAGTAGCTTGGGACAAGAGATCCTTAACCTACAAGGGTAGACACATAAAGCTGACAGCAGTCCTGTCCATAGAGACCTGGCAGGCCAGAAAGGACTGGCATGATATATTTGATGTGCTAAATGGGAAAAATATGCAGCCAAAATATTGTATCCAGCAAAACTGTCATTCAGAATATAAGAAGAGATAAAGAGTTTCCAGGACAAACAAAAACTAAAGGAATTAGCGAACACCAAACCAGCCCCAGAAGAAATATTAAAGGGGATCCTATCAGTGAAGAGAGAGCCCAAACATAACAAAGACCAGAAAGGAACAGAGACAATCTACAGGAACAGCGACCTTAAAGGTAATACAATGGCACCAATTTCACATCTTTCAATAATTATTCTGAGTGTAAATGGACTAAATGCTCCAATCAAAAGATATAGGTTATCAAAATGGATAAAAAAAAAAGACCCATGGATATGCTGCTTACAAGAAATACATTTTAGACCCAAAGACACCACCAGATTGAAAGTGAAGGGGTGGAGAACAATTTATCATGCAAATGGACATCAAAAGAAAGCTGGAGTAGCCATCCTTATATCAGACAAACTAGATTTTAAACCAAAGATTGTAATAAGAGATGAGAAGAACATTATATCATAATAAAAGTGTCTATCCAACAAGAAAATCAAACAATTGTAAATATTTATGCCCCTAACATGGGAGCAAATATACAAACCAATTAATAACAAAATTAAAGAAACACATTGATAATAATACAATAATAGTAGGATACTTTGACACCCTACTGACATCAATGGACAGATCATCTAAACAGATCAACAAGGAAACAAGGGCTTTGAATGACACACTGGACCAGAAAGACTTAAAAGATATAATCAGAGCATTTCATCCCAAAGCAGCAGAATACACATTCTTCTCTAGTGCACATGGAACATTCTCCAGAATAGATCACATACTGGGTCACAATCACATACTGGGTCACAAATCAGGTCTCAACCAGTACAAAAATGATTGAGATTATTCCATGCATATTTTCAGACCACAGTGCTTTAAAACGTGAAGTCAACTACAAGAAAAAATTTGGAAAGACCAAAATTACATGGAGGTTAATGAACATCCTACCAAAGAATGAATGGGTCAGCCAGGAAATTAAAGAAGAATTTATTTATTTATTTTTAAATATTTTATTTACTTATTTGACAGAGAGAGAGCGAGCACAAGCAGGGGGAGCAGCAGGCAGAGGGAGAGGGAGAAGCAGGCTCCCTCAGAGAAGAGAGGCCAATGCTGGCCTCAATCCCAGGACCCTGGTATCAATCATGACCTGAGCCAAAGGCAGATGCTTAACTGACTGAGCAAACCAGGCACCGCGAGAAGAATTTTAAAAAAATACATGGAAGCAAATGAAAATGAAAACATGACAGTTCAGAACCTTTGGGATGCAGCAAAGGCAGTCCTAAGAGGGACATATAGCAATACAGGCCTTTCTCAAGAAACAGTAAAAGTCTCAAATACACAACCTAGCCTTATAGCTAAAGGAGCTGGAAAAAGAACAGCAAATAAAGCCTAAATCCAGAAGGAAAAGGGAAATAATAAAGAACAGAGCAGAAATCAATGATATAGAAATAAAAAAAAAACAACAACAGTAGAACAGATCAACAAAACTAGGAGCTGGTTCTTTGAAAGAATTAATAGGATTGATAAACCCCTAGAAAGACTTATCAAAAAGAAAAGAGGAAGGACCCAAATTAATAAAATCATGAATGAAACAGGAGAGATCAAAATCAACATCAAAGAAATACAATTATAAGAGAATATTATGGAGAATTATATGTCAACAAATTAGGCAATCGGGAAGAAATGGATGCATTCCTAGAAACATATAAACTACCAAAACTGAAACAGGAAGAAATAGAAAATCTGAACAGACCCATAACCAGCAAAGAAATTGAAACAGTAATCAAAGATCTCCCAACAAACAAGAGTCCAGGGCTGGATGGCCTCCCAGCAGAATTCTACCAAACATTTAAAGAAGAACTAATACCTATTCTCTGAAACTGTTTCAAAAAATAGAAATGGAACAAAAACTTCCAAACTCATTCTATGAGGCCAGCATTACCTTGATCAAAAACCAGATAAGACCCCATCAAAAAGGAAAATTACAGACCAATATCCTTGATG